CGGAAAGGAAAAATGATATTCACCATCAAGTGCGTTCAAACTTGAAAACGTCTGCTGATTCGATGAAGTTATCTTATTATAGGTGATCTACTGAAGTCAGCTTTGAACCAAGAGACAAGGTGTGGTTGTATAAACCCTGGAAGACAAAAGGGAAGTCTCCTAAGTTGTCTTCTCCATGGGAAGGCCCATATGACATAGTGGATCGTCTCTCAGACGTGACTTTCCAGATAAAATGTGGTCGGCGAGGTAAGCCAAAAGTGGTGCATGCCAACAGGCTTTAGCGTTATCACGGTCCAGGACATTTCAGTTGGGACGAAGTGGACGACAGAACAAATGACGCTGCTGAAGACTTGTCACCTGAAGAAGCCACTGTCAAAGAAGAAACTACTCAGTTTTGAGAAGGGAAACAGTGAAGCCCTTGATGAGGTTATTACTACTGATGTGACTGTTACCGATGATAAGACATTTCCTGATGAAGCAAATGAACCCCACTTGAAGCAGAAGCCAACGAGACGGAGACCAGTACGGAAGAAGATACGTCCAGTAAAATTAAGAGACTTTGTTGAATTTTAATTTTGTGTTTGTAAATTCTGTACATTTATTTAAGGTATTGTTAATTGTTTATTGGTTTAATGGAAATGGCTATTGTTCGGGACGAACAATACTAAGGAAGTGGCAGTGTTACGACAGCGGAAGTCACGTGACGCTAGTAACACGTCATGAACTTCTAGAAGGATCCTGAAAGCTCGAGCATTTACCAGATTTCGATATTCTTTTATATATAAGATGGTCAAGACATGACGGAACAATGTAATGTGTAATTGAACTGCGGGCAGAGAGAGACGTATTGTTGAGCATGTGAGACGTTCGTTGTGAATTATAGCATTTGTTATAGCGTGATTGTGGAAAGTAAGTGTATTGCAAAGTTGTATTTAGAAAGAATAAATCAATTTTATTTAAGAAAGGACTTGTATCGTTAAAGTTTCTTCAGAAAGAAATTATACGGAAAATTAACGAATGACCGGAGGCGTAACACAACCCATTCCTGCCCATCCTTAGATTGAATAATTCAGGTTTGGTCTGCTTTTCAATATATGGTTTCGTGATCACCCATTGTGAACATTACTCTGAACCCCGTTTTTTTCAGTGGAATAATAGAGTCCTTACCACTTTCCAGCTCCAAGCTGCTGGGGTGGTGGACCATGGAGGTCTCCTCCTGATTGTGAAATATACAATATAAAAATAACACAGCCATTCGGTTGAGAGTAGTGCAGTGGTGTTCTGCTGGTGGCCACATGATCGGAATCTCTCATCCTACCCCCTCATAGAAGTTGGTTCCTGGCAGTTCTGTTTTGGATTTAGAGCTGAAACAATGAAAATACTGACCACACTTGTGGTGTGACGATTGATATCCTTCTTCCTACCCCCACTTGGATGTTGGTTCCTGGTGGTTGAGTTTTGGATTTAGAGCTGAACCGATCCAAATAAGTCCTCACATATGTGTACAGGGTGTCCCTGCTCACTTACTCGATTCGTCATGGGTCATGATGGGTGCACTCGATCCTTGCTCCTCTTACTCCTCATGCACTCTCCTCAATGTCATCATGCCAGGGGATGATACTGCTTTTGGAGTAGTTCTGATATGTTTGACCTGAGAGGAATATATCTGTATTTCATTCTGATCATATGCCCTGTTCACCAATCAGTGGTGATAATTCTCCCTCCAGTTGGGTGAACTTGAGATAAAGATGATATGATCCTCTTTCCTACTCCCACTTTGATGTCAGTCCCAGTGGTTGGGTTTTGGATTGAAGTTAACTTATCGAGGGTGTGATTCTCGTCCTACCCAGTTTACTTGCTGTGTATAGTCTATCACGCCCTATCTACTCTACATCTTGGAGCACACCCCTTCGTTTACCCATCTATTTCTATCTGCCTGACTCAGTCTCACCTCAGTCTGGGCAAAAAGTATACCTGGTATAGAAGTGATGTTGTCTTTTACCTAAGATCCTTTTCTTTGAGGGTTCCCTCTTGATAGGTGTCCTTTCGGAGGATGCTTCTCTTTTCTCCCTTGCACTGGTCATTGTACTTATTCAATGTGGGATTCTAGCTATGTATGTGAGTGGAAGTAAGGTACCTTGTTGGAAATTATAATTTTCCTACACAGAAAATATACTTCCGACAGGTACTTACTTCCACTCACACTTTCTCCCTTCCTTCCTTCTCCAAAGTAATAGTTAGGTAGAATAGCATAGTGGGAGACTCATGCATCACGTGTGTGTGAGGCAAGGCTGTTGGTGGATATTCTATTGCATGATAATTTGCATGCATGAATCAGTTAAACCATGTGAATCGAGAGAGTAAGTAGGAATATAAGGCTTGTGGTATGCAAAAAAAAGCAAATAGAGGGCAGCACTGAATGAGAAGAAATATGTATGTGAACGGAATTAAGTACTTGTCGAAAATATATTTTCAGTGTAGGAAAATTATTACATTTATTGAACGAAAATTTCTAAATTTTAGTCTTACCAACAATAATATAATATGTTTGCAATATTTGTATGTTACTGTATTTTTTATTCATCCCTAGTACAGATAAATTTTCATATTTTACAGTCAATTTAAATTGCCAACTAGACTTTTCTAATGTTTTCTGTGGTTAGATTTCCATTGAATAAGGTTTATAAATAAGAGCCTTATTTTTTCTGAGACCTGTGTTTATGATTGTATTCATAAATATACACGATATTTCTGATATCTTTTGAAAATATTTTTCTTCCAGCAGAAGCTAATACATGTCTTTTATGTAATTATAATTTAGTCACTAGTTTGATGAATGTACCAAACTTTTTTCCAATGTTTTAAATATTTATGAATACCACTTGTTCGTAGTTCTCTCCTACCTTTATTTTCTTCTAACAATACCCCTTCCTTTTATTTAACAGAGTGATGTTCTCTTTTATTCCCCACAGTTTAGTGCACTCATAATTGTTTCATGATTAATATTTTTTAGAAACCCAGTAAGAATATTTAGTTACAATATTATCTAATTTGTATATTTTAGACTTAGATAATATTATGAAGTACTGTGATGTTTTTTACAACACTCATAC